CCACCTGTAAGGGGCGTCATGGTTTTGCCCAGCCGGCAGCTGAGCCCCACGCAGCCGCTCGCTCACTGCCCCACAGTGGGATTGAGGGGGAGAATCAGAAGAGTGAAAGTGAGAAAACTCATGGGTTGACATGAAGACAGTTTAATACGTAAAGCAAAAACCACGCACACAAGCAAAGCAAGGCCAGGAATTCATTCCCCACTCCCCATGGGCAGGCAGGGGTTCAGCCATCCCCAGGAAAGCAGGGCTCCATCACGCCTAACGGGGACTTGGGAATACAAACACCATCACTCTGAATATCCCCCTCTGCCGCCTTCTTCCCCCAGCTTTATATGCAGAGCATGTTGTCATATGGTATGGGATATCCCTTTGGCCAATTGGGGTCAACTGTCCCGGCTGTGTCCCCTCCCAACTCCTCGTGCACCCCCAGCCTGCTCGCTGGTGGGGTGGGGTGAGGAGCAGAAAAGGCATTGGCTCTGGGTAAGCACTGCTCAGGGATAATATAAAACACCTCTATATAACATAAAACATCTCTATATTATCAACACAAGTCCAAAACACAGCCCCAGACTAGCTACCAGGAAGAAAATTAACTCTATCCTAACCAAAACCAGCACAAGGGGGAAGGCCTCAGCAGAAGAGTGGATCTGGAAAGTTCCCAGCTGTGTGGCAGTGGGAGTGCGGTGGAAAATGGCTATAGCAGAACTGAGAGGGTTAATATTTCTGTCAATGCACAAAATAAAGTGGACTAATCACTCGTATTGAAAGTCAAACGTACAGTGCAGAGCAAAATCTGTATTTACAATGAAGTCACAGTGCATTCCACATATTAAACCTCAGATCACAGAAATTGTTCTGATGTTCAGCTGCACTGATTGTACATTTCTGTGCCAAAATGAAAGAAGACAAGCCCATTTCATTATCCCTAGAAGTAATATTGTTTAATTTAGAAACAAAAAGTTGAGTCTTTGAGCTGCATTGTTTATATCTACTTAAATGCTTCATGAGTCCATGTTCTGAATGTAGTATTCTATCTTAAATAAGATGATAAAAATGTAACACCTTGTCAACAGAACAAAGAAAGTACATTTTTATTGAATTGTAACACATTGTATGGCTTCATAGAGTTTTGCTGCTAACTGCTTCTCTAGGTTGTCTGTCATTAAGCTGAAATATCTACATTACATGCACTGTGACTTGGCATTAAAAAAAAGAAAGGAACCCATAAAACACTCATATTCTTTTACCATTGCAAAGGTCAATACAGAGACTGATCTTTCCTACTTTCTGGTTCAAGACACAATACATTATTTTTTTCCTCTTCTTAATCTGATTTAACTAAGGAAAAAAATCCTAGAAATAATTTTGAATTGGAATGCTGATTTTATACTGAATTTAGTGAAGGTACTTAAAAGGGAGAACTCTCGGTTTGAAGCTTCTGTCATCGTGTCTTTGCACACAGATAGCACAGGGTATCGGTATCTGTCTCTCTCCCTCTTCGATGCTATATTTATCGCCCCCCTGGCCATAAAAGGTCTGGACTGGGGCTCTGACATTCCACTGACTGCAGGCATTATTTTTGTTCTGGACCTTGAAGTCCAGTCCTTACCCCTCGTCCTGACTACCTCTTTCTTTGCTGGCTTCATCCTTGCTGTATTTTTCTGCTATTCATCCACTTGAGAGCTATTTCATTTGCTGCTGATCATTTGGGCCCTGGTAAGTGTTCCTTTATGACAGAAGATTTTATGTGTTCAATTATTTTTAATCTGAATCTGCAATGCCGAGTTGATAGTAGCTCCCTTTATTCTTCTCAGCTCAGCAGTTATTTGAGGGACTTGTGGACATGAACTGAAGACGTCTGAGGTTTAGCTGTGAAACAAAGCGAAGTAATGCAACGGTTCACTTATTATCAACTCAATTATCCTTGCATATTGTCACAGTACTCTCAAATGAAGCATGGCTTACTGAGATACAGGAGGAATTTGTCATGTAACCTCCTTTGGGCTTAGAGAATGTGTAAATCATCTAAATATTTTCTAGTTGCATAGCATGTCTTGTGATTTGTAAAGCCATTGACTGAGCTGAAGGAGATGTTATCATTTTTTTCCCTGCTTGCAAGAGTTTCTCTTTTTTATCTATTTCATTATTTTCACTCATTGATGGAATAGATCTTTAAAGAATTACACGGCCTGGTAAACAGTGGAAGAGGCAATGCCAATAAAATCACTTCCTTTAATGTGTAACTACGACCTATGAACAAGTACATCTGTCTGCTCTGTAGTAACTTCGAAAATTCAGTTCAACAGCTGCTAACATATAGCTCCAAAATCTGCATATTCATGTAACTATGGCCACTAATATTTTTAGGCCAAGCTTTGCAATTATGAAATGAATCACAGATCCTGAGAGGGAGAGTTGTCCTCACACTACAGGGGGCTGATTAGTGGACACAAACTAAGTAGGTGCAGGTAGCATTGATTTTATAAAACTTGAAAGATGAGAGTCAATCTGATAATCAGTTCTCCAAACAGGAGCAAAATCCTTACAAGGTTCAGAGTTTCTTGTTGTCTCTGATAGCGTCAGACTACTATATCTGATCAGACTAGTGTAACTATCTGATCCTGACCTGTGAGCAATCCTTGATGTTTCAGATGAACTATAAAACATAACTCATAGTGTGATAAAGTATCTATGAAAGGAGTTTCCTCTTAGATGGCGTGAGTCAGAGTTGGCCTTTGATGTGAACCAGGACACCTGAGTTCGTGCTCAGCTCCTGCCTTACTGCCTTAGTTCTTACTCCTCTCATAGATCTCCGCTTACTCCTGAGGACAGTGACCTCCAGACCTTTTATGTTTGGAAGAAAAAGGCTGTTTTAATACATTTTAAACATGCTGACTTTAAGACAACTGCTTGTTCTTTTGCTCTGGTAAGATATATATGCAATGTCTCATTTAGCTTCTCCTTAACGGGTATTGCATGCAGTGCTTTATATGTTCGGATCACCTTCCTTCCTTTGAAGCCTGGAAGGTTTTGGGAATCCCTGAGCAACAGGACTGAATAGCTGCTAGCCTTGTGGCTGTTGTGTCCGTGCAGAAGCTAGCCAACGCTGCAAATAAAGATGGTGAAGCCAAAGGGAGACAACTGTAGTACTCTACAGAAGGGAAACAGGATGTTCTCTTCTTCTCTCCCTTTCACTGTGTAAGACAATATTCATCTGTACGCCCTAACTTTGCTCAGCAGAGATCACAATGGCTTGCAAACCCTAAACCTAGCTCTGCAGAGCTGGGAGAGAAAGCAATGAAGAAAAACGGAGAAGAAATCTGATACTAGGGAAATTAAGAGGAACTACGTACCACCAGAAGCTAACAAAGTGAAATAAATAACAACACAAAAAATTGATAGGTATTAGAAACAAGGATACTAGACAGAATAATTGCATTCTTTAGACTTACATGAAAAAATAGCCAGGAGGACGAATAAGTGAATTATAAAGGAACATCAGTTTTTGCCTTAGAGAACAATGGACTAACATTTTTGGGTGGGGTTTGGGGTTTTTTTTGCATAATTTGCCTTAGTCATGGTAAGTACCTGAGCAGTTACCAGAGAGAACAGTTTGCGATTTGTTGACTTGCTATCAGAACCAAATACTAAAGAGAAAGCCAAGGACTGAAATCTAGGAAGCATAAAGACCAGGGAAAAAATATCTTGATTTTCATGAAATCATGATTACACTCCAGCTCTGTAAGTGTGTTTTATGTCAAAACATCAGATCATTGTTCATTAACATGAACAAAACCAGAAGCAGAACAAGATTCCCATTCTTGTGACTGAAATAAAAAAAAAGCTAATAACAAACCTCTCTCATCATTGAATCTTCTTTAAATTCTTCTGAATGTTTACCAGCTGTAGCTCATTTCTGTTCATAATCATGTACCTTTTTAGGGCCAATCCTAGCAGTGTTGTTAGCCTAATCACCAGTGATAAGAGAAAGGTAGGTCATCATAGGGATTGGTAGAGGCAAGCTTGCATACCAAAGAATAAAAAGTCAATTTGAACAACAGCAAAATAAAACAATAACAAAATAAAGACTGAATTGCCAGCTTAAAAAAAACCCAAGGGAAATCCTTTCTGCACTCAACCCTCATCCCAATTTGAGAGGGGAACTACCTCTCAACTGATCAAATTTCCTACTACGAGCGACTGCAAGACAAACTACTGATGACTGTGCAAAGTAAAGCTTAGATGGGGCTATCGTCTGGAGGAAGTTTCTTCATGATCTTCAACATGACATTATAGGTTAAAAAAAAGGGTCATGATATTATTTTACTCATTGCATACAGACTGTATCCCTGATTAAACTGTAAAAGTATGACAAGCCATTTTAAATGGATCTCTGGTATCACATACAAAATAATCCATGTAATGCATGTTTACAGAAAAAGTGACATCTCAATCTTAATCTTTTTAATTCACTGTTAAAATATTAAACAGAATATTAAATTCAATCTGAAAATTTGATTACAAAAATGAATTAAATGTTCATATATTTTTATTTCAGCTTATATTGCCTTGTTGGAATTCCTCATGCCTTTTAAAATAATTTATTACTTTACTCTCTCTTTTATAATTTAACAAAAATATTTACAGTATGTCTGAAGAAGCTGAGCACATAAAATTTCATTAGTTCGCAGTAATGAGTGGAGAAGTTGAACAGGTAAAACTTGAATAGTTTGCAGTAACACAGAGGCCAACTACAAATGAATGGACACAGCACTGCGAGGTTTTCCAGTCATGATGAATGATATATGAGTGTCTTGAAACTTAAATACAACCCTATCTTAAAGTCTAAAACATGTCATAAAAAGATAACTTTAAATTCATTGCATTTGATGGTTGAAGTTTTAAGTTCTGTGTTAGTTTGTATTAAGCTGTGTATTATTTGTATGCTAACTCAGAAGTTCTTTGACAATAGTCCTTATGTTTGATCTGTTCTTTTTCAGACACTGTCCTGTTTATTAACATTCAGAAACGTGCAGTAAAAAGCAAAATTAGAAGACACCCATGATGTCTTTACCTTTCTACCAAAGACATCATGAGCACTATGACCGTGCGTACCGCCATAAAGCACTGCAGTCCACTGTAAGCCAGTACCAAAAGGAAACAAAAGGCAAATCTGCTGTCTATGCTCAAGGATCTACAGCTTATGCTAGGGGCTCTGCAGCCTATCGCCATGCATCTGCAGCAGACTTCAGCCTTGACTCTTCAGCGGCATATAGTCATGGCTCTTCAGCCTATGACCTTGAGTCAGCAGCCTACAGCTATGGATCTACAGCCTATGATCACTCCGCTGCACGAAGTAAAAGATCTGCTGCCTACAGTCTTGACTCTGAATCCCTCAGCAAGAGCTCAGCTGCCTACAGCCATGGATCTGAATCCATCAACAAGCTGGCTGCAGCCTACAGGCTGGGATCTGAAGCCTACAGTCTCGGGTAAGTAAATCTGTCTTTGAAACAATATTTGAAACAAAACTGTCCAGCTACCTTTCATTGAAATCAATGGCAAAACTCTCCTCCTCTTCCACAGAAATTCTGTCTGTAACTTGGTGTTAATGTATTTTCCAGGCTTGGTGTTTTCCTTTGGCTTTGGCAATGGGAATGACTGTGGTCAGCTTAGTTGGACTAATTCACATGTGATGGTCGGATGGGCATAAGAACAACACTGGCAATGCTGATGTGGCTGAATGATGACATATTCGTGCTCCAAACTGGTTAGGCATGAGCCACCTCTCCTTCCAAGTTGTTTAGCCATATTAGTACAGCTGAATTTAATATGCTGTGTTGAGATAACATTTGGTTCGAGGCTGGGTCTTATCTGGCCAGGTTAGAGAAGTAAAAGAACTTAGGGCAGTTCATGCAAGCTTGAACTAGCATGTCCATATATCATTAAACAATTCTTGTGTGGCCTAATGGTTTCACTTTTATGCTGAGTGATTCAAGAAATTGAAATTTTCACACTGTATATTGGTTGAGGCATACTATTTCCAAAGACGGAATACCCTAAAGTGTTCATCTTGCATTAGAAGAGCAGCTATGCTTAGCCACCATGTTTTTTATTTAATTAAGATAATAAATATTGTTCAAGCAATTACATTAGCAGAATATTTTAGATATTATAGCCTCACATTATTTGTATGAATCTCAGAGATTTACAGAAATTAGGGGAGTATTAAAGGAAGATTAGAGCAGCTGTTAGCAATATAGGGAATGATCAACAAATTATAGCCCAAAACATCTGCTCACTGTTCTATTAATATAAAATGTAGAGCATTATTAGTACAACTGATCAAGACTTGTCCATCAGAAAATTTAAATTTTGAAAACTGAATATCCTCCAAGGATTGTGGATAAAGAGTGAATTTTGGCCAAAGTCACTGAGGGAAAGACTACCTGTACAGCAGTAAACAATACCTTGTGATTAGAGCCTTCGCTTGGTTTCAGGAAATTCAGGGTCAAGTCTCTATTTGAACCTCAGGCTGTTAGAGCTCAGGGGAGTGACTTGACTACTTGACTGGCTTGGGCTGAGTGATATCCAGTCTTTGCTGTTGAAACAATTTCACTTGCACAAATACTTAACCACTGAGTGAAGCGGTGAGAAGCTAATTTATAACCTGCTGATGAAGGGAAGCAAACTGGAGATGCTGGGACTGAGGGTTATGTTTCTGGAGAGGGTTGAGTAGGGGAAGATATTCCAAATTTCTGCAGTGATGCAGCTGTGCCTACATGCTGTTGCTGACCCTAACCCAAAGCCTCCTCCTTCTTATAGAAAAAGTTCTCATAAGAAATGGGAACATTCTCTGAAGCTGCAAAAAGTGATTGTAAAAAGCCTGCTTCCGAGTCCCAGTTACTCTGGTTTGTCAGATGAGTTTCTTCTGAAACTTGTATATTCTCACCAAGAAGAACTCTTAACATCAGCAAAGTAATATTAAAGGAAATAGAATTGCTTAATTGTGAGAGAACTTAAAGCATTTCCAGGTTTCCTGAGGTTTTGTTTGAGATAATAGCTTTTGTTTTAAAATAGTATATTTGATGATACTTCCAAGCTACTCTGTAGTACAAGAGTTGCCACCATATTGATATGCTATCCTGGTAAGAAGAGATAAGAATATCTCAGCTGTAACTTCTTTTTTTTTTTTTTTTTCTTCTGTGATCCTGTCCTTGTGTTGGAGTTTTGAGAAATTTAGTGCTGCTATGTAAGACTAGGACTCAGGAAATTAGACCTACGTGATTTAAATCTCTCTTGCACAAAACTTAATTAATACATGAGAGAATATGGTTCTGAATTATAATCTCAGTAATTAACCTAATTTTATGGTTAATATGGCCTCTATGTTGGTAATTATTTGGTTTTTGCAGCCCATTTTGCTGCAATCTGCAAAAGATAAAATAAAACAAATATTGCAACTATATGGTTAAATGTCATGCCAATTTAAAGTAATTCTTTCCAAGTTTGTATTATAGCCAGATAGCCCAAAACACTTCAAGGGATAATGTAGAGACAAAAAGTGTTACTAAAATAAATTGGGCAAATCAAAGACTTTCTGATTTCATCTGTATGAAAGGAATGGTGTAGCAAAAAAAAAAAAAAAAGAAAAAAGAAAAGAAGTCTCCAAAAACTTTCAATTTTCAAAAAGTAGGAAGAGCCCTGAATTCCAGATAAAATTCTTCAGCTAACAATTGATTATTGCGTATCACTGGCTTTTAACATCAAACCTACATTTATGTATAACGGATATAGTTTTGTGGATAAAACCCATTGAGCTCAACAGGAAAAGTACACTATTAAAATACTAAGCTTTCCGTCAGGTCACTTCTTATTTTTATCTAAAGTAGCTTCTGCTGAACTTTACTATACTTGCAAAATTTAAGTCTCATCGTTTTCTGTAGCCACTGTACAGAAGAGAGTGTTCATAAAGCAACAGTATTAACATGCACTTAATGTTATGTGAGGAATTTATCATGGGAAAACAGTGGAGAAGGACTAAGGACTAGGTAACCTGCAAGATCTTGACCTGAATCCGATTCTCTGACATTGGAGCCACACTTGAGTGTAAAACATGCCCAAAGCATGGACACAGATAGCGTGAAGCAGCTGCAGCTTGCTTTTTCATTGGGACAAAAAAGGCTTCGTTTGCAAGTGTGCTGTCTCTTCCCCACCTTTCAAGTCATCTTCACACCATGACAGCTTGAAGAAGCAAAAGGAGAGAAATGGAAACTGGCAAAACCAAGAGCAAATACTTGCTTGCAGATTTGCTGGTTACGGTTTGCCAAAGCTGCAAAACCCTGAGCTCCTAAAAGAGAGTCTCACCGTGTAAAGCTTGCCACTTCACACCTAACCCTCTCTACCAGCTCGTGGGGCCATCTCTAGCTAAGTGTTGCTTCTTTGGCCTCTGCAGAGCCAGGAGGAGCGGGGTGCGCTGCTTCCCTCGAGGAGCAGGCAGGGTCTGTACAGGCGAGGGGTGGCAGCTCTCTCCCAAAAGCCCTTGTTGTGGCCACCCATCCTCTTCCCTGTGCCGTCCTTGGGGGCTGCTGGCATGGGCAGGTTGGCTCCTGTGGGAGAACATTCTTCTCATGGCACTGGTCCATCCTTCATGTGCTTCTGAGAAACTTCTGAGTCAGGTCTGCCAAAGCTGCTTATAGCACTACAGGCCTGTCAAATGGGACTGCTGGATTAAACACACTTACCTCTTTTTTTGGAAGCTCAATCATTGGTTTTTCCTCAAACTTTCACTGCTTTTCCATGTGTTATTTTCCTGGCCAGCAGCATCAGATAATCCCATTGTGTCACAGACTGGTTATTGGCCACCAAATGGACCAGAGACTTGCTTAGAGAGAAAACACAAGTTATTGGTGTGGCTCAGGCAGTCGCATACAGTTTGCAGATCAGGAGAAATAGCAAAGAAGATATGGCATAATTCAGGTGAACCAAACAAACAGAGGAGAGATGCCTTACTAACTTGCAATTAATTAGACTGCCAGACAGTAAAAGTGAATGCTGTTCTGAGCAATATTGTAACCAGGCTCCGGACAGGGCTGAGTAAATAACACACTTTAAGAAACATGAGAAGGCTGTGATCTCGAGATCCCTGCTGGCACTGCTCATCTGTTGCTTTATTATAGGTGAGAGTTATGAAGGTGGCTTCCAAACGTCATAGCCAAGCATGGAAATTGTTTTAATGAGACCTGCTACATGGAAACAATTCCCCTTTAAAAAATTTGTTGTGGAAGCTGTTAGGGAACAGCGTGGTTATTGCCAGCAATATTGCCTGGGTCTGTGACAAATCTGTCAGCAACTTAAAATGAATATAGTCACCAGAGAGCACTTCTCATCTTTAGAGGCTGGCTTTAAAGAGCTCTCTCATGAAAATCCAAAATCCCTTTTCTTTCTTTTTTTTTTTTTCTTTCTTTTTGACTCTCCTGTAACTGGGTTTGCCAATCCACTCTCTCATCTTTACGGTGAGTAAATTCAAACATTGTGTATTAGGAAAGAAGCAGCTGCTGGAAAGAGAGCCTGGAAAATGCCCCTTGGCTAATGGAGCTCCTCCAGCAGGTACAGCTGGTACAGCCATTGTGTATACCAAATGCACCCCTGTCTGCTGTTGGAATAAAGTGTGAGAGAGAGAGATGTGACAAGCACGCTAAGGACAAGATTCATGATTTTCTATAGCTGTAAAAGATTTTACAGGTGCCTTTTCATGCAGGGGTGGAGTAACTAAGGAATAGGGTGTTGTGGTCCACTCCTAGAACACATTTCTACATCCACTGGGCATAGACTGTCTTTGTGGAGGGTGGGAAGCCTGTCCCTTCAGGCACAGAAAGAAGGGCAGTGCCAATATATTGAAGTATATTTCTGTCTGAGAATAAGATATCAAACCAAACCCTCTGTTTGGGAGTTTCAGAGTCCTTGCACATTGTTACTGTCTTTTGTTCCTCTGTAGGGCTAGAGGGAAAAGCTAATAGTGTCTACCTGTCTTTAACATCTCTACAGCATAATGCCTGTGCCTTTAGCATTTACAGCCACCCAACTCCCAATTCAGTGACTCTACTGAGAAACTATGAAAATGCTGGTGTTGATATTTTAACATGCTGAAAACCATCAAGAAATGAGGACAGTAGGCTTGGGTCACCAACCTTGATAAGGCAGTACAGATAGTATCTGATCTGGAAAAAAACATACGTACGCTAGCTGGACATATCAAATGAGGCTGAAAGCTGTTAAAAGGTCATGGTACTGTTCCACCCTGTGAAACTAGAGAGCACTGATACCCTGCTCCTTCTCCTCTGGGGAGATTCTGTTCCACATATCAGGTAAAAGGTTGGAACATTTTAAAATAAAGGGCAAGATTTTAGAATCTGGTTCAAGAAAGTGGAGTCCTCCTTTGGGCTACCTAAATAATGGTTGTAGGCAAGGTTTGGGTTTTGTGTTGCACAGGAAGAAATAGTAATAACAAAACAGGAAAACAGGGAAATAAATCTCATGATAGAAAGCAATCGATTCGTTTTGCCATGCAAAGAGCTCCATTTGAATATGCATTTCTACTAGCCTCCATATAGCTCTGCCTGAACGGAAAATGATAAGAGGATTTGGAAAGGAGAAACATTTTCTGCTGCTTCAAATTTATTCATCTCAGCTCTTGGGTTATGCAGTGCAATTCTATAAAAGAGTTTGGAGTGACTCTGGATGCCTCTCTGAAAACACCAGCTGGATGCTCTGATGTGGTCATGAAGCAATTAGAAATTTAGGAATAGCTGTGAGAGAAAGTGGAAATAAAACAGAAAGCATATTGTGTCAGTGTGTTAATCCAATGTATGCTTGTAGCTGAAATACTAGGTGCAGTTCTGATCATCTCATTTAAAAAAGTACAGACCGAAACTAGAAAAGGGTCAGTTATCAGCAAGGAGGGTAGTGGGAGACATGGAATACCTTCTGTCTGGAGAAGGTAAGACACTGGGGCTCTCACTTGGGCAGCAGGCAAATGTGGGCATGTAATGTTACTGTATAAAATAGTGAAAGATGTGTAGAGAGTGAACAAGGAAGGATTTTTCACACAGAGTAAGCACAAAAGAGATTATAAAGTGGAAGATTAAAACAGGTTTTAAAGTGCCCTTTTCACATATAAATAAGCTGTAAGCTCACTGCTACAGCCATGATGCGACCTCTGGCTCAGGATGTCCCTAGGCCTTGGCTTGAAACCAAAGTGATTTATCAAGGGAGGTGTTTCTCTATGTAAACTTTCTTTTTACCTGCTCTTGACCATTACTGGAACAGGAAACTGGTCTAAAAGCACTACGGGCACCACGCAGTGAAACACTTCTCAATGGTGCCCTGCTTAGTCAAGGTCAAGTTTCTGGAAGAGCAAATGACTGAAGTAAATTGGTCAGAGTGTTGTGTTAGCAATCTGAGAACAGCAGACAATTACAGGATCCACCTGGATCCATTATTCAGGTCACATTTATCATCTGTGCTTTTGATAGCTGAGTGTTCCTTCTTCTGTACCACTACAAAGTACTGGGACACCACCCTTGCTCTTAGAAGACAGCATGACTCTCGCTGCAGCTACCCCTTCCAGAGAAAGAAGAAGAGAGAAAAAGGCATCTAGAAAGATGCTTTTCTGGTCCTGAGCCCATACACACAAGGGTCGACCAAAGGATGTAATAACATGAAGGATCCGGCAGTAGTAATCCAGAAAATAATCAGGTGGCTGCAGTGAAAGGTGAGAGAGACATCTCTCAATCAAGAGACATGTGGGTTAGAAAACACAGAAGAGAGTGGGAATCAGCTGTACATGTACAGTGTTTTTATCTTAGTCATCATTCCTCAATAAAAGTCCCAGTTCCATCCCTGTTTATCAGGCTCCTTTGTGAGGGAGATCTCTGGCATCAGTCTGAAGGATCTGGGGGATATTTTCATAAAGCCAGCTGTGGAAGGCAGAAAAAATGAAAGTGAGATATTCAACTTCAAAGACTTGCAGTGTTTGATTAAAAAAACCCCACAATCAAACAAACTAACCTGTAGCAATTATTCTTTCCTTTTCAAATAATTTTAGACAGTTCTAAGTGAAAGATAGGAAAAAAGTGTCAGTCTCTTCTCCCAAGTAACAAGTGATAGGACAAGAGGAAATGGCCTCAAGTTGTGCCAGGGGAGGTTTAGATTGGATGTTAGGAAATATTTCTTCACAGAAAGGGCTGTCAATCATTGGAACAGGCTGCCCAGGGAAGTGATTGAGTCACCATGCCTGGAGGTATTTAAAAGACGCGTAGATGTGGTGCTTAGGGACATGGTCTAGTGGTGGACTTGGCAGTGCTGGGTTAAGGTTGGACTTGATGACCTTAAAGGTCTTTTCCAACCTAAATGATTCCATGATTCTATGACATCAACAAAAGGCCTAGCAGAGAGTGATGGGAACTGCTATATACACTTCCCACTAATTTCTTACATTGTGTAATCTTGACCTTAACTGAAAACTAAACTGACAGGACAGCCAAATTCTCCTTTATGAACAAAGAGCTAGTCTGGATTTAGTGGTGCTGAAAGTGCTTGAGCTGAAATTTTCACCACATTTCATGTACTTTTATGAAAATAGAAACTTCTTGACATTTCAACTGAAGTTCAAATTATACTGTGATCCCTCTCGATCTAGAAACAGCCAGGAATCAAGTGGCCTCCTAAAAGGTTCAGCCTAAAGCCCCTAGGAAACCTGATGGCAGTCAGAGTGAAAATTCCAGGTTTGTCCCATTTTAAAATAGGACAGGAATAAAAGTCACCTGCTAAGTAAAGAACTGCAGTTCCTTACAGACTATAGTTCAGTTATGAAAAATAATGACAATACTTTGCCTTTGATGTTTCTCAACACTAATTTGACGACAATTTCTCCCAATGCATTTGTGGTTGGCTGTAGTGATTGTACCACTTTGCTGCCCAACCCAGGAGTGAGGCCATTGCATACCTCGTTTCACTCTGTCTCTTTCTTTTTATTTTACTCTGGCTGGATTGTTCCCAAGTGTTTTCTGCTTGGATTTCTGCCCCTAAAGCTGGACCTGCCTCCCTTGGACTCTCTCCCTGGCTGCCCTGGGCAGCGCCTGGCATCAGACCCTGGAGCAGACAGCATCTCTCTCCTGTAGAATTGGTCTGTGCCTTGGCTGACCCAGTGGTGCCCGACATGGTAAACCCTTGGCCCCAACGCTGCGGTGTGTGCCACAGCCCCTCTCTGGCTGTGCTTTTGTGTGCATGGAAACCAGGATACTGGGGGAGGAGGAAGGAAGGAAAACTGATGCTCAGTTGCTTTTACCCCCTGTACCGAGTATTTCTTGGCAGTGGTGCTGTAAGCTCAGTGATGGTGGCTCTAAAGTGGGCACCCAGGGAGCACAGAGGAGAGGGCTGCCTCTCTGCGATGCTGGGTGAGCCGAATACAGTCGAGTCTGATGAGATGGAGACTAAACAGAAAGGAACAGAAACTCTCACTGACAGCGCTGGGAGTGGCAGGGCAAAGATATGAGGGCTGGAAAGCAGGTGTGGGAGGGGATGCGAAGTTCAGGCAAAGAACTAGATGGAGAAGAAGAGATGACAGTAGGAAAGCCATTAAGAGAGCTAGAGAATGGGAGACTTGATTTAACAGGCACTGGGTAGGGAGAGAACTACATCTGAGCAAAGGGACGGGCACAAAGAAACGAAGGAAGGAAAGGTGGGAGAATGAAACTCTACTCATGTGATCTAACACACACAGTCTCACATGGATAGATTATTAACACATATTTTGGAAATTAAGCACTCTTCCTGGTATGACTTGTGTCAGTGGCACCTCTGGAGCTTGATTCTTTTGCAGGGCTGCAGCCTAAGGAAAACATTAGCCCAAGTATGTATCTGTACTCTTACGTTATACGTGTGTAACATTCTCAGGGACCCAGTGCTAGCATGAGTTTTGATATATATGTATACAGCATGCTGCGTAGAGACATTAGAGTAAGCTACCCAGGGCAAGGGAAGCAGGTTAGCTGTGTTAGTGGTACATGTCTGGGCTAACGATCCTTGCTGAGAAACCAGGAGTCTTAATTCTGCTCCTGTATCTGTGCACATAAGCAGTAAGCTTATGCTGTGTAGACAAATCTCCAGACCAGAAACAGACTCACATATGATTTCTCTTGGCAATGTTGAGACACAGATGAATAGACACTTTGGGGATTTATAAAAGGCTGACAGCTAATTAGGATATTCTGTAGATCTGGGAGTTAAGAGACGTGTTGCATTGGGAAAGGAGGACGGAGGTATTTGGAACTTTGTTAACACAATTTGTAACCGTGTTAAAAACGAACCCAGAATGACTGCCTTAAATATGCTTCACACTCTTCAGAATCCCTCCCAGGCTGGTGAGGAGGGAAGCCTTCCCTTTGGTTTGCTCTTCTTTCTCTCCACTCATTGTCCATTTATCTGTGCTATGTTAAATGGTGGTCACAGAGCTCTGTGTTTTCAATGGCTTGGGGCGGTGTAGGAGAGCACTCGGAATCACAACACTGATTACTGAGCAATACGCTGCACTACAATTTCTGTAGAGAGACTTAAATGCTTTGAATATATTTGCATACCAACATTTTGGTTGGGGACCAGACAATTTCAGGACTGTAAATTTTGGAAAGGTAGAGGTTATGAGTTCAGATACAATCTTCAGAATTACTCAGTGATCTCAGTGACTTCAGGATCTACCAAAACCCTGTGTACAAACTCTCCAAGTCCCAAACCAAGAAGCTATTAAATATGCATTGCTACCAGGTATATTGTTTATTCTCTCTATCTAGATTTAATATCAATGGGCATCAGTGTTATATTTCTAATGATGAGTTTGTCAAAAGTGCATTTAGTTATGTGTTTAATAACTCTGAAGCCATGGTTATTAAAAATATTTTCTTGCTTATCAAACAAGAGAGCAAAAATTTTTAGTACTTTAACCTTATTTTTGAGTGTTTCTTAACAGCTTTTTTCCCCTGAATGTAACAATACTATTTTTATTTCAGACTAAAAGATTCCAATTTAATGATAGAAGATCAATCCTATAAGATGAGTCCCAAAGCAAAGAGAGCAAAACAGCATTTGGTATCTGAGGACAAAGAGAATGAAGCCATAGACTACTCAGTGCCCATATTCACAGGACGGTATGATCATTTTCCTTCTGTTTGGTATCTTATTTCTGACATTTTATTAACAAATTATAAAATAACAGATCCATTAATCTTTTTTTTACACTCCTGGATCTCAAGGTGATTGTTTGCATTTCACATCAGTGATAAAAAGACAAAGAGAAGTCAACTGACTGGCAGAAAATCAGACACTGAGCATCCAGAGCCAGGACAAATGAACCTAGGTGTCTGGACTTTGTTTTGAACACGTCGTCAGGGCCACTTTCTGTGAAATTAAGATATAATTATAACCCTGCTTATTGGGAACCGGACAAGCATGTTGTCCACATTCTTTCGCTTATTCTTTTGGTTTGAAAACTTGTTCTGTAATTCAGTATCTCTTACCAAGATTAAACATAGAAACAATGAAAAAATGTGCTAATGTTTTGTCCTGGCACAGGGAAAACTTGGAATTAAACCAAATACTTTCTCAATTCCATTGCAATGATTTGTACTGATCTCACGTGTTGGTGGTATTTATTGCTTGGTTACTACTGACGTAACACATCTTACTGCAGAGGTGTCCTCAGTAAAGCTGAATGTGAACTTTATGTGGAAGCCAGAACCAACACAAGCAAGGAGGGTCCCCTGCCCTTTTTGGGGTATGGCATACCGATTTTATAAGGAGTCTCTGGCAGTTCGAGCATAGTCACTTGTTCAAATCAATACACCCTGGGGTGTGGGGAGGAATGCTGACCCCTGATTGGAGGCCAGGAGACAAGCTTCTTGCCCACCTGCAGTTGAACAGAAACCTTCCTTTAACTTGTCTTTCTTCTGCAGCACTGCATATTTCATGGGACACTTCCAAGATGTTTCGGGGAGTCAGCGTTTTTCTGTCTACTGCTTAATCAACGCTCAATGTCACTTCTGCTTTGTGTCCAAACTTGTGCTTTCATGTGAAACTGAGTTCCACCTTGTCAGTGGGAGATGTCATTGCTCTGACCCTTTGAGCATTTGTGATGCTTTTGTGATGAGACCAACAGTTTTGGTTTTTAATAATTCCCTTCCACTATCCTGGAGTAATTTTCTTATTCACCGGTTATGCATTTCTGTGTCAGATTCATTGCTCTTTGATCCAACCAACATTCAGAAGCACACACTATTGCATTTTTAAACTCTTTATCTTGAGCTCCAGCTATATCTTCTGTGATAGAAATACATAAATATGTCTCACACAAAACTTGCGGTAACATATTTTCAAGGCTTCTCACTACCTTTGTGTCTCACCCGGTGTTTCTGCTTACGTAGCCGTAGATTTGCAGCTTACCATCATCTGTCTCCCATGACCTCAAGCACAAATATCCTCCCTTTTTATTGTGTCTTGAGTCCACAAAAGTAAAATTTATAGTGTTGGTCAATAGTTGGAAATCATGACTGATGGCTAGTACTCCTGGATGATGATCTTAGCTTCTTTACAGGCCCTGGCGATCTTAACACGTCATGTTAACACCTTAACGAATCTTAGCAAATCATCTTTTTTTATTTTACTTTTCTGTAAAATGCATACAGTAATATCTAACTCAGTGTGATGGTGTGTAGCTTCATTTATTTGTGTCTGTGCAATACTTCAGGGTCCTACATTAAAAGATATTGTCAGTTCTTACGTCATTGTTACTATTCTTCTTCTTACTGTTGTTGGTAGCAATCTTACCTTTTGCACATGGCAACTCAGGCAGTTGTGTGCACTTTTGTGCCACTGAAATGACCCAAATAGACTTTTTAAAATTAGTTAAAAAACATAAAAAGGGCATATGATGATTCTTAGGGTGCCCGACTCAACATGGCATGAAATGGTTGGGGTATCTGTTTTAGGCTTTTTTTTTGTTGGCATCATGTTCATGACTGCATGCCAAGGCTGCGGAAGTTGCATGCCACATTCCTGTCGGATATTTATTTTTGTTTGAAAGATAACAGCTGAAGCTCATTGAACCATGTGCATGTTATTTGTCATTCCCAAATTCCCCTGTGAAATTGATGTGTTGTTTCCCATGGGCAGATAGCTTTTTACAAGGAATAGTTATTTATAAAGGTCAGCTCTCCGCAGATTCAGTGGCTGTTGCCTGTGCTGCTGGATGACCTTCAGCGCTGTGTCACTGTCTCCATTATTTGGTTCTATTTCAGAGCCCTCAGGTTCTGCTGGAAAAGAACTCCATTGCTCAGATTATTCACTTTACAACTGTTCTTCTTAAACACCTAGCCTAATCCTTGCAAGATAAAATTAAGAACAGCCAGCCAGTATTCTAGATAATAAAACACCCAGAGCTTGATGTCATGCCATATGTGCTAAAGATACTGGATGTAGCTCATGGAACTATTTGCAACCACTAATAAGCCTGCGCCAAAGGACTGCAGATAGCAGATGATGCCCTGCAAATAATATTTCGTGTGTGTGCCATTTGGGGTTTGATCCTGTTGTTTCTGTCTGAAAATTTTTTTCTGCTGAAACCCCTGACACTTGACTGCAGAATCAATTCTTAAATGATACTGTGTGCTGTTTCTGATGCATTCATCATTTCAGGGAACGTGCTTCTCTTTGATCTGGGAAGATTATAACAGGAAGAAATGATTAGCAAACCTAAATATTTAATAGTGTTGATCAAAAGCATCTGGGGACCTCTACTGCAGATGACTAGGCTGAGCCCTATATTAGTCTGAAGATATTCATTAGCTCCCAGATGATGCTTTATGCCTTGAGGAGTGGGTCCATACTGTGAAGTTGCAGAGCTCTTAACTACTGTAATTAAGGAGGAAATAGTGTCAGCTTGCCTTTGAAGAAAAACACCACTGATTCATTTAAACTGAATGTAGATAGCTACATTCATATTCATTAAACTGAGTTTTCAAAACTGTCTTTAGAAATCTCTGCCATATATCTGCAGCTTCAGATGATATTTGTGGGGGGGAGCTGATGTGCCTAAGCGAAGGGAATCAATCACCCCACTGATACTTTTAAGGATCATCCTGTTAAAGCAGCCTGAAATACAGGAAGTTCAAGGCAGAGTTTGAACGCACGAGGGAGGTCAAAGCTCTGTGCTGTTAAGTAAGTTTTTTAGTCTTTTGAGCAATTTTTATGCTTAGTTAAGCTTATAGCACATTCCACTGGTTGGCTGTCTGGCATCTCACTGAGCTGACTTCATAGCCCAAAAATAAGGGGCTGGACAGTTAATTATGGGTTTGAATCAAAATTTTCTTGAGTGTTGAGATATGCTATCAAATGCATAATATCAGCAATCTTAAAACAGAAAAAAGTAATTCTTCCTAATCTTTTTGCTTTGTAGCAGTAGCAAGCATTTTATGATAAATTAGTGAGGCTGTGCTTGAGTGTGTTCTGGAAATAAACAGAAGCTGCTTTCTCTATAGTGCTTGCATGATGGCACTTAACGAGAACTTAAACAGTGTGGAACAGAACCCATTTCATTGTGCCATCTAATGTTACTCTGAAGTAACTAAACTCAGCAGAAGGATATTAACGGTTCTCCTTAAGTCAAGGAACTCTCATTGTATATGCACTACTATAGCAGCTATAATGTCCTGACAGTGCCAGAAAAATATAGCTGCAATGGTACTTCCATATGTACATATGGAACCAGGACTGAGAGCAACTGTGCTTTGCATCTTGCCTCTCTAGAAAGCCTGAGGCCGATGCTTTAAAAAAAATCCTTAATCATCTTATTGAAAACATTTGGAAGAACAGTCGCTCTACAAACATTACAGGATTGAATTTTCGAATAAAGAAAACTTTTTGTGACATACAGTAACGTAGGGGGTTTTTTTATAAATCACAAATGAGGACATTGTTATGCAGCTACAATTATCTCTTGTGCCTTTTGTAGTGTTATTATGAATGCTGCAGCCACAAGACAGTAACTGAAGATCTGTTGGTATGCCTTACACTAATCTTTATAGCAATGGAGATATATAAAACCACAGCAGGATAATGGTTAAACTGAAAATGCGTATGGCATAGTTATATAGAGAGGCACTGAAAATGGCCATGGCTTTATGCAGTGAAATACTCAGTCATTCAGCAGTAGCCTTCTACGTTTCTGCTTTGAATACATATGAGACTGTAACAGAAAAAATATGTTATGAGAAAATGTTGGCCAATGTAGATGGCTAATGTGATAGAAAATATAAATGGAATATGTTCTCAGCATTTTCCAATGGGATTCTGCTTTTTAAAAATTCTTTCAGAGAAGTGAGTATCAGTGGGATCACAGACACGGAAGAAGAAAGAATTAAAGAAAGTGCTGCATATGTTGCCAAGAGGAACCTTTTTGCCACAGGTGAAGGAGTTAGTGTCAGCAAAGTGGCCAAGTCAACTTCTGAAGAGGAACATCATGAAAAGAAATCGAGGAAAGTAGCGATCCGGGAGTCTGCTGAACGTGTGGCCCTGAAGAAAACGGTAAAAGAGTAGAAATGAACACCTAGGCTGTAAACAGTATGGATGGGGTTTTTCTTTGTTTGGTGTTTTTAACATGCCTAGCACAACAGGCCCCTGATTTACACCAGGGGCAATCACAATAATGGTAGCAAAAAAACAAAGTATTTTCAATGGAAGTCTTTCCAATGACTCACAGTCTTGTTATCTTGTTGTCAGGTGGGTAAGAAAAGAGGTTCAGTGCCTGAGGTAGGCACCAGGGACTCCTGTTGTGCCGGGAGAGAGGGAGGGAGAACGGGGCTGGAGAACGCTCTTTGGTCATGCCCACACCTAGTTAAATGGCACAGCATCCATCACCTGAATGATGAGGCAGTTACTGGCAGACAATAAAGGTGCCAATGTATGTATTTTAGCAATACGGAGGTGATGGGGTAATTTCTGGATTTTTATGGCCTGGGAACAAGCTTGTCCAAAGTGTTTACCCCAGAGTTTTAATCACAGGGTGTAAATTAGGGAGGCAATTGCCAAAGACATCTGGAACTGAATCTCTAATTATGGGAAGCTTTGATATTATTGTGCAACTTCTTAAAAAATAACACTCAGAGGACATTTTCAACTATGTTGTGACCAGACTGGCAGAATATATCAAGTGTAAATGTTTCATTTAGCAAATTTATTAATGTTCTGAACAGAAGAATTGTCAATATGCTTATAAGATATCCTCATGACATGAAGTTGGAAAGGGTGTAAACACTTTGAAGTACAAGGTAAAAATTCAAAATCATCTCAAAAATTGAGAAACAGTGAAGGTGAAATTTGATAACAACCAATGGAAATGACTACACACAGAAGGAAAAGAACAAGTAAATGAGGAGTGCCTGGCTAGGTGGAAGTACTGGAGGATCTGGGAGTTATAACAGGTCACAAATTTCATGTCAGTCAATTTGATGTCAGTTGTTGTATAAAAACAAATGCCATTCTAGTGTGTATTAACAAAAGTATTGTGATTAAAACACAGGGGGTAATTATTTAATTGTGTTGGAGACTGTTGGACCTCTGATAATGGGTAGTTACTGTTTTATGAATGTTGAGGACAAGGAGAACCTGTCCAGAGCTGAGAAACAACAATTGTAAGGAAAATTGGAATTGCATAGTTTATAAAAGACTGAGAAGATTATGAAAGCTGTCTTCTATTACTAAAGGGAACAGTAATTCTCCATATATGTGAAAGTTAGGGCAGGAAGTCATTTAGTTTGCAGAAAGCAAGATTTATAGTACATTAGGATTTTTTTTTCCCCAGCTTTGTGGATAGCTAAGCAGTTGAAACAATTACACTGGGAGGATTCCATCAACAGGAAAGATTTGAGAGCAGGTCTGTCAGAGATGATCTAGGCATACACAATTTTGCATTATAGCAAAAGTACAGAATTATAGAATCATAGAATGGTTTGGGTTGGAATGGCCCTTAAAGATCATCTAGTCCCAACCCCCCTGCCATGGGCACCGACACCCTCCACTAGACCACGTTGCCCAAAGCCCCATCCAACCTGGCCTTGAACATTTCCGGGGGGCTGGGGCGGGCACATCCACAACTTCTCTGGGCAACCTGTTCCATCCTCTTCGTAAAAAATTTCTTCTATCAGAAGACATCTGAATTTCAGACCTATGTCACCTTTTACTCTGTATTAAAATAAATAATTAAATGTGGACAACTATTTTACTTAGAATAGATTTAAGGAGAAAAAAAAACCCCAGTAAAATAAAATCTAGGCATTTTGGAAGGAGAACTTCTTGAAGATGAGAACTTTGTTTTCTGTATCCAGGTGAGATAATCTATCTGGATTTTTAAATAAAAATTGCATATTTTTAATTGCTTTTTAAAAAAATAATGCTTTTTGTGTATTAAATGTTTGCAGTTATAACTGCTGAAGTTTATAATCAAATGTTTCTTTTCCAGCTAGAAGACACTCAGGCATTCCACAAAAAGTTGAATCAAGATAAACTTTTGCATCCTCCTGAGTTTGTTATTGAGCCTCGTTCTCACACTGTCTGGGAAAAGCAAAATGTCAAATTTCATTGTTCTGTGGCTGGCTGGCCAGCACCCCGCGTTACATGGTAAGTTTGTATCTCTACCCCTGAAAGTCACCGCATAACCAATATCTGAAGTCATCTCAGTGAATGTGGTATTTATTCAGGAGAGATACAAGTTCAATAAAAAAAATCAGGTACAGAGGCCTGTCAAACACCTTTCAAGTCACCTTTTACAAAAAGAAAGAAAAAATATTAAAAGGCAAAATAATAGTTTGTGTAACAACAATACAAATACAAAGATTTTTTTTTTTCATGGAGACATCCAATATATTCTTTCTGTCTGCTGATCAAGGAAAAATAGCAGTTTAATTTATTGTCAGTACTATCCTTGAAATAATGTTTTCCAAATACTTCTGTTCAGTCTACAAATGTCATTAATGTCCCTGAAGCATTAAAGCATGATTAGGTTAAGAACTAGCTGCTTGGCTGCTGTGCACTTATAGTACTCAGTCTCCATGAAACTGAAATCTCATGGTGCAGTGTGTTCATAGCAGACACATCATAATTATTTGAAGTCAAAGACTGCAGATAGGTCCAGGACCATCCAAATCTTCTGATCTTTGGAATCTATTGGAAACTTTCTGTTCACTTGAATGGTCTTTGGACTAAATCTTTACTGTAAGAACTCCAAAATACACTCTTAGTCATAGCTGAAGGTCTAATTTTACTCTTGGGTTAAAGTTTACCCTGGCTGGAATTGAATTTAGCTTAATTAACAGTGACTTGTGGCGCTTTACTGTCTCACCATCTATTGAACTGATCTTTCTTATCTGTTTCATGCTACACAGATACCATCAAGTTGTTAAGATAATAGGTAATCACTTTTTTTTCAAACATAAAATGAGATTCGATGCTTATTATATAATTTAAAAGATTCTTCTAGAATGGGTATATAAAATATATAAATGTGTTTATAAAATGTATGAATGCATTTATAAAATGAAGAATGAATAAGCCTGTGTTCAGCATCAAGCATTGATTAGGAATAAGTCCTATGGAGATTCTATTTGTGAAGACAACAGAAAACATCTACTATATTGCAACGTTAAGTAATACCCAGATTTTGCAATTTACTACTTGAATTTCTTAATGGGCTGTTCGGTTTTTTAGGTCAAAAAAACCTTGATCTCAGGTCCTGATTAAAAAGTGCTACTAAGAGGTTCATTAATAGGCCAGAGCTGATACCCGTGAAGTCACTTGGTCTCTCTCCTTAGACAATGACAACTGATAGCCAGGCTCTTCATGGACACATTTTTCCTAGAGAGGATTCCACACAAACCCTTTGGGTCTAGTCTCAGCTGGACATAAGGAATGGTCAGCTACCCTCATGGCTGTAATCCAGCTCTGTAACCTGAATCCTAACTGAGAACACGAGAGCTGGGCCATTTTCACGTTGGTTGAGATTCACCTTGTCCCAAAAACCTGACGTGGTTAAACCAAGCCTTCAGCTGTCTGCCTTTGCTCTCACTGTGAACCAGCCTTTCATCTAAATGCTACATGTGGATGGTGGAAATTAATATATCATTTTACCGTACATCTGAATTCCAAAGGGATTTCAGTTCGCCACAGGCTACTAATGGAAAAAAAGAATTCACAGCCATTTCAGCAGGTGTCTTTGCTCTGAGATATGGAACAGTGCTGACCTGGATCTGTCAGCTTTCATTCAGCAATTCTAATGAAATGTCAGTCGTATATTCCAAACAGTCATTCTTTGTATAAGCAATGGAAACCTTTTCACGCTGTGCATGATAAATTATAAAGCTTCATGAAATTTCTCTAAAGAAAACCTTACTGTGTGATGCAGCTGTTCTGACTCCCTTGGAAAAAGCATATGGAAAACCCAGGACATTTGAAACCAGTAGCAGAAAGCATAAACTATCAGTGCATAATGACAGTGGGAGATTGCAGTCCCACATTAGCTAATGACTTGGCTGTTCTGGAATTTACATTTCCAGAAATAACAAGTGGTCCTTCTAACACGAGCCCTATTCTTTCCATAGATGAATATATATCAGTGAAAATTGAATAAATTCTTTTTTAGTAACTTCATAATGAAGGCAAGAGAAGTGAAAGTCTTCTGGCTGCTGCTTGACTCGGCTTGTTTCTCCACAGCACCGCATGCTACTGAATGCCCTTGCTGCCAACAGGATCCAAGGGTTGCCCAACCCTTTGGAGAAAAGTTAAAGAGATTATGGAGTCAAGTCCTGTTTCACAGGATTTCATATTCCTTGGAAAATATTAAGAACTGATGGCATTATTCTATTTTCTAAACTATTTGACTCACTACACGGAGTATAAAGATTCTCAGATGTTATTAATCTGGGGGGGCACCATTGCACAGATGGGGTGAAGTGTGGTGGTGAATGGATTTACTCTTAGTGGACCCATGTATTATTCTTTGCTGTAAGTCAGGATAATGCAGTAGGAGACCTGTAATGAGGCCAAGCACCTCTGCAACTGTTTGAAGTCTGGAATAGAGGATATTGCCCTGCATTGAGTCTCTTTTCATAGATATCTTGCTGAGAGGAAGATGAGGATGAAAAGCATTAGGGTTTATGATCTTTGCTCACTTTGGCACTTGGAAAAAAATCAGTGTATTACTGTGCCCAAATATTTGTAGCCAGGGAAATATTCTTTATTCCACCACACTGAAATTGTTGAAAGGCAATTTTCAGATTTATTGCGGATATAGCTTCATCTTGAGACATATTAAACTGATAATATTCTTGGTAAAAATCAAATGGCTTATTACTGACTTGTTTGGTGAAGTGGGGCATGCCACTGATAGCAGAGTAGTTCCCTTTCCTGACTGAAAATCATGAGAGAAACCGACCTTTAAAATTCCAAATGAAGAAGCAAACTTCTTTGGCTGGATATCTGTTATGACTTATGAAGAGAAAAGTTTATTTAAGCTACATAAAAGTGAGAGATGAAGATACTTTTGTCTACCATCATTTATACTTCCACTTCCCTTATGGAGCACAGGAAAAGCTATGCTAAAGAAGGACATTATCTTAGGGAACATTTTTTCTTTATAGACCTCATATCAATCCCAAATGTACTGAACACAATTCAGTGTTTAATTTTATTAGACTCCTGTCACCAGTTTGTTCCATATTAATAGTGTTCACTTAAGACAGGATTCATTTGAACATGGTTACACCGTGTATTGTTCAGAATAAGTGACTTTTTATGCAACAATTGGCGAGGAAGAATCTACCATGAACTACTGAACTCTCCTTCCGTGAGTCTCAAGCTGTTTATATAAAATCTGAAATTAGCAGTGCCGGCTCACTACTGAGCAGTACTGGTTCATTTCTTCAAATTACTTACTGGGAATTTTAAACAGTAAACTTTTCAACTTTTCCTGCCTGAAGATATACCTGTACCAGAAAACATTCATAGTGCATACTTGTAAAGGCAGAGAAGTTTTTCGTAGTACAGCTTTGCCAGATCCCTTGCTGCAATGCACTTTACCATCAAGACAATTTTTTAAACAGTCTAAGCCTATTTGCATTGGCGATTCTGCCAACCTAGCTATGCAAGTAAAAAAAAAAAAGTTAATTTTCTACCTGAAATTTTTGTGAATATGCAGGTTTTAAAAGTAGATGAAATATGCAAACCAAACCAAATGTGTACGATACTTAGTAGGTAAGGATGCTACAGAACTTTCATTGTTTGCAGCTCACAAAACTCTGAGATATTGCTCATGCGACCCTTGGATTTCTTTGCAAGCAGTAACCTGAGATTCATGGTAATATAAGTTGGTTTTTACCCTGTTCAATACTAGTTTCTTCTTCTAATTAGAAAATAAAATTCACCGGGGGCAGGTCAAAGAGAAAGAAAGAGAAGTTAAGCTTCTTTTAATACTGTCCTTCCAGGAAATTAGACTATAGTTTATCTAGGAGAAACTTGCAGAAACTGCAAGTTCCATTTCAAACACCAAACACTCGACATTTTAAAGTATGTAATTATACACTTCCGTTTGTGACATACTGTTTCTTTGCTTTTCCATAGGTACAAAAACAATGTGCCCATCAATGTACAGACTCACCCCGGCAAGTACATCATTCAAAGTCGATATGGGCTGCACTCACTGGAGATTAGCACGTAAGGGAATACTAGAAAATTTAACAAATAGCTTAAGCTGAAATGTTGCTATAGATTGAGATTTGCAAAATATGAACAGATCTCTTGGGATGTAAGAGATATCAAGTTTGTACACCTGAGGTGAATGCTGTCTACTAAATGTTGAAGCAGTTCTGGTTTTCCTCAGTAGAGGATATACAATTTACATAAGTGAGTAATTTAACTTGATGATTATTCTATTTATGGCTGATTCAGAAACAAGTTGGATATTTGTGATTACTTTTTTCCATTTGTCTGCTGCATGAGTACAGTTAAACATGAGAAAAATCTAGTTCAGGGTAAAAATATGTGAGTTAACTGTTTTTCAAATATAGCAAAATTCCTGGTTCTTACTAAAATGAGGAACAGAAATGAAACGTCCTCACTTATACACAAGAAAGGTCTTTAACAGTACTCATCCTCCAAATGGGAAATTTTTGCAGTCACTTAGCATTAAAAACCATTGAAAACATGAGACCTAATCACCTAACTTGTCAATCAGCAACAATCTAGATTTGACAATTTAGATACTGGTAGGTGCCCTTTGAAAATATTTTATATCTACTGTTTCTACAACTTCCACATTAGGCATCTCTCCATAGGAGACAGTAAATTAGAGATAACATAGAGATAACTTAAATAAATATCAGACATTTTTCCTACTTCCATTGTGTTCTCAATTTCAAATCTGTATGTGATATTTGAAGAGACGTATTCTAAACATTGGATTTTTAACATTGAGAAAAACTTAATGGCTACAGTCAGTCCAGTGTCCAGTGTATCTGTGTTTCAAGTTTTTTCTTGCTTATAGATTTTGTGCAGATTTCTGAGGGTTTTTTTAATCTAAAACATAGGAGAGAGTATGTCAAGGAGTAGATGAGTACCATGCCTAATAATTTCTATCATTTTAGATGTGATTTTGATGACACTGCTCAGTATCGGGCCTCTGCTATGAATGTTAAAGGAGAAATTTCGGCTTATGCTTCCCTTGTGGTAAAGAGTAGGTTTGCAAAATATTTCCTTTGGGGTTTTTGGGGGATTGTTTAAGATGCACATTACCAATTTCATTTTTGTGGCTCAGAGAGCATTTACGTCTTGGTGATAGTGACTGGAGTTGCTCTTTTTCTGTCCAGGGTACAAAGGAGAAATTGATGCAAGTCTTTTATATCCTGGAACTGTTTCCATGCCTCTGGGCCGTAAGTTGCAATATATGTTTGTTTGATACATCCATCTTCAGTTGTGACATCATGACAAAAGCTGAATATTTTGTAACATTATTTCAAAAGGAAGCAGGTCCGATTTACAAAGGTATTGAGCTCTACAATTTCAGGTGATGTTAGCCACACCCACAGGGGAAAATGGCATTGCCTTCTGCGTCTATGGCTATTTGCTTATATAGAAAACATCCTTTTAATATTGCCCTTGGCTGTGGAATAAAACCTGTCAAAGAGAGAGACACTTCATCCCTCACAATATGTAAAACATGGTCTGGAAAAAAATTTAGTGCGTGTGTGTGTGTGTAAGTAGAGTAGTTGACTTAATCATTCTTGTCTGCTGCTATGTGATTCCATGTGTTGTGAAAATGCGTAGAAAAGATCAAATACCCACAATCCAATTTGAATATTTTGGATATATCAAGGTAAAAATTGTAGTTTGCTTTACCTGAGACCCTCAGATTTTGAAGTGATTTACAGTATTGCATAGATACTTCCATGATGAGAAATGTTAAGAGAATCCACCCACACATGCGATGCGGGTGAAGTGCCCTAGGGCTCCTGTGCATGGAAGGCTTGACAGAGGAGCCTTATGGATGTTTCTTTTATTGTAGCAGCGCAAATAGAATCAGGGATATGCTGAAAAGACATACTAGATGTCATTTATATACCAACGCTCTGAAATAATGCACCACATTACAAAATGCAAGGCCATGAGTTTCTAACATAATGTGGGATTTATCACTTAGTAATGGCAAAGGAAGATGACGACCTGCATATATTCATTGATCACAGGAAGACTGTGAGCTACTAGTGTAGGGCAGTTGTAGAAAAGGAAAATGTGGCCGTAGGTTTTATCAGCTGAGCTGTTTTCAAAAGAAATATGGAAGCCCCTGTGCCATGTACATGCAGCACAAGTGTAAGGCACTTTTAGGATATTCTGTTTGGAATACTGCATAACTTGGGTCACATAACATCAGAAAAGGTAAATTCAGGACCAAGTACAAAAACAAGCTACTTGAATGCCTGGGGGAATGGAAAGCTCATTTTGTATTAAGACACCACACACACACACACCCCCCCAAGCTTATTTATCTTATAAAAAAAAAGGTTGTGTGGGCACATGACTGCACTGAGATGGAGCGAGGAGTTAAAACAGGGAAAGAAAAGAGCCATATAAGCTAAAGATCAGCTTGACCTGAACAAATCATTAATCATAAATAGAAGTCTGTTTAAGTTATAAAACAAACCTTATGAAAAAATGATAAAATGCTGGATCTGAAATTTTGGAAATTCTGGAATGAAATTCGGCAGGAGCCCCTCCCTCATAAAATGAACTAACTGTAATAACTAGAGTTGTATGAATAAAGAAACAGTTGATTCTCTGTAATAGTAAGGGCTTGGATTATTTGACACTGCAATTACTTCTGAATATGATTGCTGAATATAAATTGTTTCTGTTTATATCTTGAACTTTACCTGAGCTTGTATTCATAATTATTGGGTACTTTTGCTTACTAGTGTCATCACAAAAAGGAAAGAAAAAGTAAACAGCCAGATTTTTTTTTTCCCCTTATACAGTTGGCGTTAGCCCTCATGGCTATGCTTCCAGGTTTGAAATCAGCTTTGTTGACAAGTTTGATGTAGCCTTTGGGAGAGAAGGCGAGACAATGAGTCTGGGCTGCACAGTTGTCATCAGTCCTGATATCAAGCGCTTCAAACCAGACATCGAATGGTACAGAAATGGTGAGAATGTTTGACAAGAAGAAATATAAACTTCTTCCATGTAAATCTTTAGTTATTTTGGCATACGTAAACATTATGATTTGGTCATCACTTTCTCAGACTTCGAAACAGTAATATTTTCTCTTTTTCAGTAAAAGTTTTTTTTAAAATATTGCATTTTGAAATGGAACCGCAGTTGGAAAACAGACAAAGCACTGTGAAAATGTCTTCTAGGAATTTCTTCTTTCTTAAAAAAAATGTATATTAGAAGCATTTAGATCAGTTCCAACATCTATGTAGCCCATCGACACAGCCCATATAGGTTTTACTATTTATTTATATGCCAAGACATTTGTTAAGTAGTAGCACAAACGTGTTGTGCAATGGCTGATAAAAAAGCTGCTGCTCTCTGAAGCTACGCTTCGAAAAGGAAGACAAAATTGGCATGAGAGCAGAATTAGCTGTAATTTATAATTGTCTTTGAAGACTGAAAGTTGCATAATAAGAATGGTCTCTTGTGTATTTCGAATCTATCTATTCCCCATATTCAGATTCTATTTCTCAGTAGATCCAACTAGTTCTCATCATGAAACTCTCTAATTTCTAGGTGTTCTTATTACACCATCCAAGTGGGTCCAGATGCACTGGAGCGGGGAGCGAGCTTCATTAACACTAACTCATGCAAACAAGGAAGATGAAGGTCTTTACACTCTACGAGTGGTGATGGGAGACTACTATGAAGAATACAGTAGTTATGTCTTTGTTCGAGGTAAGATATTGTCTTGTGAATGAAAAGTACTACAGAAATTAGGAAAACACTGGCAAAATCAGTCTCAGCTGGTTTAGGTCCTTTTTTTCCAGTAAAAAGAGAATAATTATTTTCTATTAATAGATTCTAGCAATATAGCTTCCAATTATTATCTTTGGAAAAATTGAATGCATATCTCAAGCTTTGGTGTCACGTGCTAGAAGACTTCTAAAACACATTGACATTAGGGTATTGATGTAACTTCACTACTCTTTCTCAATTTCAGCTTGTGGAGAGTACTGAACATAAGTCATAAAGAGGAAAAATCTACATAATAACTTAAAAATGTATTTTTGTAACATGTCACTGCTAGCTAAACTGCATTTTTTGGATCAAGATTTTGTGTGCCATTTGAAGGGGTTTTTTCCTAATGCACAATGCAGGAAAAAATACAGTGGAAGGGAAACACAAAGGTCTGCACCTGGGGAAGAATAACTTCACGAACTGGTGTAGGCTGGGGGGTGACTGTCTGCAAAGCCACTTTTCAGAAAAGACCCTGAGGGTCCTGGTGGACAACAAGGTCAACATGAGACAGCAATGTGCCCTTGTCACAAAGACAGCCAGCAGCATCCTGGGCTGCATCAGCAAGAGTGTGGCCAGCAGGTTGAGGGAGGTGATGCTTCCCCTCTACTCAGCACTGGTGAGGCCACACCTGAAGTGCTGGGTCCAGTTCTGGGCTCGCCAGTACAAGAGAGACATGGACATACTGGAGTGAGTCCAGCGAAGGGCTGTGAAGATGATTAAGGGCTTGGACCGTGTTTCATACAAGGAAAGGCTGAGGGAGGTGGAGCTGTTCAGTCTGGAGAAGAGACGGCTGAGGGGGAGTTTATCTACCTGATGGAAGGGAATAAAGAAGACAGAGCCAGGCTCTTTTCAGTGGTGCCCGGTGCCAGAACAAGAGGCAATGGACACAAATTATAATACAGGAAAGTTCATTCAAACATAAGAAAACACTTTTTTTAATGCAAGGGTGATTGAACACTGAAACAGGTTACCCAGACAGGCTGTGGAGTCTCCATCTGTGGAGATACCCAAAACCTGGTTTGACATGGTCCTGGGCAACCGGCTCTAGTTGACCTTGCTTTGAGCTGGGGTTGAACTAGGCGATCTCTGGAGTTGCCTGCCAATCTCAACCATTCTGTGATTCTGTAAAGTAAAGCAGCAAAGTGTAGAATTAAAATGTAATTGCTTTGGGTGTTGTTTGCTTGTACCATGAAAAACTTCCTTGCATTTCTATTAGAGAAATATTTCTTTAAAAGGAGCCATGGCTATCAAGTTGCATGCTGATTCTATATCTGTACCAGCTGCTAAAAGCAGCTGAAGTGTGTAATGCTAATTCAAAATTCTTGGCTCTGAGATCATGCCCAGAATGGCACTGTGTTGCCAAGTCCAGCAGAGCTGTGTGAGATAACAGCCTGCTCAGAAAATATGACTGAAACAGATGTTTTCGTTACCTGAAGAGTCTACCAAAATGAGCATCTGTGACAAGGAATAGGACTTGTCTTTCTTGCTTTGTTTTAAATTATGCTGCCGTATAAATAAATGATCACCCTCGTTCCTGTTACATCTTCTAGCAATGCAGGTATGACCTCACTGTGAACCTGCTTCCCCTTTCACCAGAATATCTTACTAGCCAATCGGAGTGTTGGTCAAATTCTAATTAAATTAATTATATTCTACATTCCTACTTAAATGGTCCCCACAGTCTCATTTGGCTAGTACATTCCTCACTGTTCCACCTAAACTGTAGACAAATTTGCTATAAATAGGTAGCTATGCTATTTAAGCACAAGCAGTTGTCTTTCTGTGTCATGTGTAGAAATCCCTGTGTATCGATGGAAGTGAGCAACGCACTGATCGGGCTCACAACGTTAGGTCTTTAGATGGGTTTAGAGAACGTATGTGACTTTTCTGCCATGGCTACAGGTCAGCACTTGTCAGCAAGCCATCAGGGATGAAACCCTAGCCTCACTGAGGCTGATCAGCAATGTTGGTTGTCCCAGCTATTTCCCAGTCTGTCTTGGAAAGAAATTGCGGTGTCTCATGTCAATCAGTAAATACGGGCAATTAAAATCTTTCCTGTGGAGATTACTGAACACGTATTGTTATTACTCTTAATGTTCTTATTATTTTGTTAACTGGATTGCTTACTCTGTACGTTATCATTTTTAAAAATGCATCGCGTTAGTTGTAATTAAAACCTGGACTTGATAACTCTGGCATAGCTTCAAAAGCTCCATGTGACGCTACTCTGCCTATAAGAGAAGACACAGTGTAAAGTGTGTGGGGTTTTTTCTGAAGAGTACTGTTTTACTTAATGAAGCATGTTAAATGCTCTTATAAGGCATTTTTTTCCCTGAAAGCCAAAAGCATAAGAAATAGGGATTATTATATGTTGTAATACAAAATCCTATAATGCCTTGAAACATCAAACCTTTTTAAGAAGTCTGAGGTTTAGATGGAATGTATGAATAATATTTATTAACAAAATATTTTTTCCCTCAGGTATGTACGTCTTTCTTGTCTAAGTCAGGTCTTCTTTTGAAGTAGCTCACAATAGGGCTTGAAAAATGCTACATGTAATTGTACAAATTGATGTTATTCTTCAGAGAAACAACCTCTCTTCTTCGTACGTCTTTCATACAATC